TTTTTTATGAGCGGATTAGTGAGCAAATGAGTAGAGCGCCTATTCAAGAAATTGTATGAGCAGATTTGCGAGCGTCCATTCATAAAAAGCTGCTGAACAACAAATTGAGCGCCGCTCAAAATTTTCTGAGCAAATCTAAGGTCTGTATATATGTATATATAAGCTTGTACAGAAATGGTGTGCAGTGGAACACTATTGCAGACCACGCAAATAATTTTTTTTGTTGAAAACTTGACCACTGTTTAGATGTTTTGATGATTTTAACATTTAAGAAATGCACTCAAAAAAAAAAATGCTAAGCTAAATATAAACTAGGAAAAGTTAAAAACACTAAAGAAAAAAGAAAACAATTCCTTAGGAAAAAGAAAATATATATACTTTAAAATGAAACTCAAAAAATTTAAACTCAAAGCGAAAATTACTTTTTGTTACATTTTTAATTGCGTTTAAAATAAATTACTTAATAAATAAAAACTTACCTTTTGAAACGTTTTATTAAAGTTACGCAAAAAACATTTTCAAATTGTATAAACATTCTTTTCACAAAGTTGCAAAAAAAAAATTTTTTTAATAACAAGTCTTTTTAAAATAGTAATTTTTAAGTGTAATTCAACTAAAAAAAAAGCTATTGAAAAATTGTTTTTAAAAATAGAAAGCAATTGAATCATTCCATTGCAACAAGAAGATTTTAATTTAACTTATTCATAATTAAAACTAACTTAAAAAAAATAATCTTTTTAAAGATATTTTGAAAGAACTGGAAAAATAGTTTCAAATGTTTAAATTTATCATAAAAAATACATGCCTACTAAAAAAAAAAATTTAATATAACATTCAATTTAAACAAAATGCATTTATTTTAAAAGATCATTATAACTAATTTTTTATTATATTTAACCTTTGCACTTTACGTGAAATATCAACTTTATTAAGATTTTTAAGATGAACAATTAAAAGTCATTCATAATGTAACAATTTTTTTATGGCATTCAAATTGTTAAAACATTAAAACAGCCGTGGTCAAATTGTAAAGAAAAAAATTATAAGCGTGCAATTGCGCACCATTCCTGTCCAAGCCTCTCTCTATATATATAGTCCCAGGCCTTGTGTTATGCATAAAGCAATTAACGTACATCTTAAGAGATTTTACGTACGCAGTAAGCAATTTTGGTTAAGCAACTATTTATCATTTTTTAACTTTTAAATTATTCTATAAGCGGTAAGATAAAAGAAGTAATTAATTTCAAAAAAAAAATCACATTTACTTTTAAATGACGTTTATATAAAAATATTTGTTACAAAAGTTTGAATGACAATTATGTTAGATATAAGCGCTATTTACTAATGAAAAAAACTCAAATAAAATTTAAAATTTATTTTTATTTTATTGTAATGATTGATTTTTTCGCTTGAAAAACGCTAATATTTTAAGCTTAAAGCTAATATCATAATAATATAATTTAATTCTGATAAAAATATATGATTTAATTTAAAACTAATTTGATAAAAATATATAATTTTATTCTAATAAAAAAAAAAATTAATTTAGATTTAAAAGAATATATAATTTAATTTTGATTTAAAAAAATTATTTAAGTTTATTATAATTAAAGTTAAAGTTTAACTTAACTGTCAACTTTAATTAAAAAATATTACTAAGTACTGCTCAATATTTAAATTTTATTTGTTTTGAAAAAAAAATTAGCACATTTTTATCGCAATTGTTTTTTGGGTTTTCTTTCCTAAACCTTTTTTTTATTTTTCAAAATTAAATAAACGGCTGCATCAAAAATTTGCATAAAATGTAAATTAGGCTTTTTTAAATTACACAAATTAAATCTCAGCGATTATTTTTAATAAATAATATATACAGCGATATAATTTTAATAAATGATGTTTGGAAATATAATTTTTGCCTTGCATAAAATAAATTTATTTTTTAGATTTATTTAAATTATATTTTTGCAATCTCGTCCTTTTTTTATTATTTGTTCATTTTAATTAATTTAATTAAAAACCTTAGCTAATTGAATGAAACTTAAAAATAGTTAATTAAATTTTTTTGTTTGATTTTTTTATTTAACTGTTTTATTATGTTTTTATTATCATTACTTTTTTAAATGAGTTTATGAATAATAAGGTTAATAAACTTCATGTCATTTGTTCAATTACAACAAATAAACTACTAAAGTACTAGGTATAATGTATAATAAAGGTATAATGTTATCAGAATAATGATAGATGAACTTGCTCCAGTTAAAAAATGTCCATGTCAAACAACTAGACCACAATGGATTTGTAAAAAAATTAACGTTACAATAAAAAAAGATGATTTAGCTAAAAAAAGGGAAAAACATATGTTTACAGATAAAAAAAAAAAGACGAACTTAAGCATATTAAAAAACAACAAATCAGAAGCCTTATAAAAAATGTTTAAAATAGGCAAAGGAAGAGAAGCATTCCGAAGCACAAACCCTTAAGATGGTTGGAAGTATATAAAGCAAATGTGTTTCAAGACTTAAGACAAAAATGAAAAACCTATGATAGTAATACAATCAATTTACACATTTTCTCAATGACCATCTAGCTTCAGTAGTACAATGCAAAAATAGGACTTCACTAGAATGGCAAAATGGATGTGACCAAACCAACAGCTTTAGTATTGTGATAGTAAAAATAGAAACCATGTTAACTAATATAACAGCAATGTGGAGAAAAGGGAGAAAATCTGATCCAGAAAATTATCATTTAATCTCAGTATTACGATTACTTTAAATAATTTATGAAAAAATAATATGCAGATAACTCTTTGAATATAGTGAAGCAAAAAAATTAATAGTAACCCAACAATTTGGATTCAGGAAGAATTCCAACTGTGAAACTGCTTTAATAACAGCAACTAACTTCTGGTAAAGCTCATTTAATGAAGGAATTATCAAAATTACCTAGAAGGAAGGGTTCAGAGAGTGAAAAATGGAAAAAAGTTTACCCAATGGAAGCGCTGATATTAGGAGGAGTAGTTCAAGGTGGTGGCCTTTGTCCAGAACTATTTAAAATCTGCATAAGAGATCTTCCACAAGCATTAACAACTGAATCTTATTTATTTGCAGATGGCATTACCCTATCAGCTACAGACAGCTCTTGGCAAGTTATCACTGAGAAACAGATCAAAGTGTTTGGAGATACCAATAAGTTCTGTGTTGATTATGGTTTTACTATTGTATAATAGTAAAACCATAAAACACAGTCTTTTCCGTTTAGCTAGCAATATAGCATACACAGTCTTCTCCGTTTAGCTAGCGTTTTCGCGCTAGCTAACTTCTTTCGTGCTCGCCTACACGCTCATAAAAACTTTGACAAGCGCATAAAAAAGCGCTTGCTAAAAAACTAAAAGTATTTTATTTTAAATTGAAACAAACTTTTTTGTTTATTTGTACAACTTTTGTGAAAAATAGCTTTTTTTACCAGTTTTTTTAAATTATTTTATCTAGTATTTATTCAATGCATTCTTTTGCAATTTTTACTCAATTTAAATAGCAGAAAAAAATTAGTTTTTTAAATCGCGCAAATTAACTTAAAAATAACCATCCTGCCAGCGCTTTTTTGTGCGCTGGCATTTAATTTCCAACAGAGAAGACTGCGTACAAAGGGCTTGTATGCAGTCAATTAGAATACACCAGCACATTATACCTTGCACAATCCAAAGCACAACTATAGAGGCTTGACATAATACAAAAGCAATGTCTTCGAATTATCTGTCACAAATCTGAAAAACCCACTCTGCTCCCCTTTTAAACAAATTAAAGTTTGATACTAAAAGAGAAGAAATGTTCTTGCAAGAAAAATATTCAAGTTTGCTTTATAAGGAATATGCCATCCATCTATAGCTAACATGTTTACAATAAATGAAGACTCAAACCTTATAGTTAAAAAAGCAACAAACCGTCAAGGAAGCAAAGGCTTCATATTATAGGGACCAACATTTTTAATAAAGTTAATTCTTTATATATCTATCTTTTACGTCAATGGCATATACTACTCAAGCAGTGGAAGAGGAATCGGCGATTAAAGAATACTTAAGAACAATAATAATAATCTTTAATTTATTTTATAAATTGTAAATGCAAGGATAATCTGTAATTGAGTTTAAATAATAAATAATAATAACAATAATTCAACTAAATAAGATATGTTTTTGTATGATTATGTCACAGTTTAAACAGAATATTGAAGGCAAAAATAAATACTGAAAATAAAGGAAATTTTTTTAAAACGTTGATGCTAAGCAAACTCATGAAGATAAAATATAAAAAATTTTTCTTATATATCAAACTGTCATCCCAATTTAACAAGCTTTAACATTTTCTTCAAAAAATTTTAAAAAGTAAGCTTTAAAAACTTTAAAAAAAATAGTTTATCTTTGTTTAGAGATATGAAAAACGCTATACTAAATCATAATAGTTAATTAATAAAGTATTTTAATGGAATGTTTAAATTTTAAAAAATTAATTTTAGCTTTAGTTAAACTCTTTAGTTAAAGCAAAATAATAAAATGATTTTACGCCGCTATTCTGCAACATTACCAGATATATATATATATATATATATATATATATATATATATATATATATATATATATACATATATATATATATATATATATATATATATATATATATATATATATACATACATACACACACACACACACACACACACACACACACACACACACACACACACACACACACACACACACATACATTATTATTATTTTTATCTAATGTTATAATTATACAAATAAAATAATTAGGCATAATAAATAAGCCTATCATTATATATTATAATTTATATATATATATATATATATATATATATATATATATATATATATATATATATATATATATATATATATATATATATATATATATATATATTTCAAATATATTAAAAACTATAAAATATTTTATGTGTCTTAAAAATATATTAAACATACTTTTAATGAAATAAATTTATAAAAAGTACAATTTTATTTGCCATGAATAAAATAAAGTTGTACAAATCATCAACGCCATACAAACTTCAGATCAAATTAGTTAGTGCCCGGTCAAAAACGCCGAGTAATGACCGGTTTTTTTTTATATAAAATTAAAAATTAGTTAAAATGAAATGAAAGCTAGTTATTAACTAGTTATTATTATACTAGTATAATAGTATAATAAACTAGTTATTATTTGAAATGTAAAGCATTTTTATAAATTTCATATCAAAGATGTTTTGAGAAAAAAAAATAAAAAAAAAATTATAAGACGATTTTTTTATGGTAAATAAAAATGATAAACAATTTTTTTATTCATACTATATTTATACTTTTTCATTAAAAAATCCTAATGTAGAGAAAACTCAATTTTAGAAAAAAAAAAGGAACTTACTCAATTTAGTTAAGGCTAATTAGATAATCTCAAATCAAAATTTTTTATAAAAGTTTCATCTTTGACAACCTTTAACTTAATTTTTAAGTGAAATTAAGTAGATAAAATCTTATTTTTGTTTAATACAACTACTTTTTAAGATTTATAACAAACATAACATAGATTATATAATATATAAATATTGATAGGGATATTAAATTTTAAATAAACTTTAAAAGATTGCTTGTAATACAGTTACAAGCAATCGTTTAAAATCAGATTATTGTTAACACGGTAAGATCTTTGGCGTTTTTCCTTTAATCATCTAATCGTTGATCTTGCAGAACACATATTTTACGGAAATATCTTGACTGCTTAAATTATTAACTGACTGACGGCAATTTATTGAAAAACACCTTGACATTATGTTATGGTGTTTTTAAATAAATTGCCGTCAGTTAACTACTCACTGATGCATCAGCGAGTAGCTCCTTTTAAAAAAATACTCTTCAAACGAAGCCGTCCATGAACTACGTCAATGTTTTTCTATATTAAACTCCCCCTTTCTACTTCTTAACAGGTTGTCACAATATCACCTATATAAGTAAATATAACTATGGTTTAAATTAGATACTCAATCATAAACCGAGAACCCAAACTGCGTCACTTTTACTAACTTATATACAATTTTATTTTTTTTATTTTTATTATCTTTATATTTTTTCTAAATTATTTTGCATTAAATAACTAGGCGAGCAAAATATATAAACTAGCATATCAAATTCATATGACATGTTATTTTTTAAAAATAATTTATTCATTCAGTTACATAGATATGATAATAAGGTATAAAACACTTTGTCATTTTTTTCTTGTTTTTTTTTTTATTTTTTATTTTTATTTGTTAGTTAATCCCTATTTAACTATATTTTCAGCTAATTTTAAAATTAGCCATCTTTTGATCGCTACATCTATTGTGTGTATGTTTTTAATAAAATGCTGTGTAGGTGATAGAGAAAATGACAGCAAAAAAGGAAGCAAGCAGAGCAGGTCAACATAAATTCTTTGCTTTAACTTCTCAAAAAGTATATTCAGCAAAACTGAAATATTATCAGGAAAAAATCCAACAGGAAAGAAAGAACCGTGAAAACAACTGCGACTTACCAACGCTGTTAAGTGGCTCAAGAAAAAAAAGCTGTATTGGCTGAAAAAAGAAAACTATATCATGGCAAAAAGATTAAAACAACAGCAGAAAAGAAATCAATTTCAGTATTTTCTGCGTCCCAACCATTAGTTGGTACCGTAATTTTATTTGGAAAATTAGATAATTTTGATGTATCACGTGTAGAAAAAGCTTCTACAAACATTATTGAACCAGAAATAAAAAATCAGTTGGCAATCTTGAAAATAAGAAAAAATCAAAAATCGAAAAAGTAAGTAATTGAAAGAAAAAAGAGAAAGTTGACGAAAAAGACAGAATACTACAATATAGATAGAACTGCTTGCGGGTCATGCAAAGTAATTTTTTGTGAAGATAAAAGTCAAAAAAACTGAACTGAATGCCAGGAATGCTATTGATACTACAACAATGCATGTCAGGGTTTGCAAGACCAAAACTTTTTTGGTTTGTATTACTTTAGTTTGTTTGTGAGAACAACTTTGAATAATATGTAATCAACTTTTGAAAACTCTTTTCATATAAAATCGCAATTTATTTTTATAATTGATGTATGTAATATCTTAATAAAATGTATCTTTAAATATATTACTAAATGTTATAATATTACTTACAAATATATAATGTTACTTATTAAATAATATTTATATAGACTATGGTTTATTAAATACTATAAGGTAATCTTTGCTGAATACTATATTGTATCATTTGTTCAAAGTTCTATTTTGCTACCTCATAATATGTCATATTTTGAAGTTCTTCAATAAAATATCTTTAAAGTAATTATAACTAACACAATGAATTGGGTTTGATCTCAGCACTGAGCAAAGGAAATTGGTGGTTGGCATTTGTATGCTCTAAACGCACCGATTAGGGCGTTTGGAGTTTACAAATTAACTAACAAGATTTAATCTCACAAACCTGTATATAATATCGCCCAGCGATATTGAGTTCAAGTGGGCAAAGTTCAGTGCTTTTGACACTTTGTACAGTTTTTATTGAAAATATCAAACACTCATAAAATTTAGAACAGCCCGCATAGTTTTCTAGCTAAAAGACTAAGCAATCTAATAATACATAATGCAGCGATGTAAGTCTATAAATTGCTTGTCAGTAGCAATTTTAGTGCGGATATGGGCAAGGTTTGTTTAAATAATTCTCTCTCTAATTTGTTGTTATTAAGGTGATCCCAGAAGTTCTTACAGTCTAATCACAGAGCACCCCTAAAGAGTATTTAACAAGGAAGTTCACGCCTCTTTTCTTATTAATGTCACTTATGGGGCTAGAGCCGGTGCCGAACGTCAGGCCTCTGGGTTCTAAGCCAAAATTCTAACCACGTCGCTACGGTATCGTTTTTACATAAAGTAGCGTGCAAAAGGTTAGAAACGTTTTTTTTTTTGTTTTTGTTTTTTAATGCATAACTTTTTGCAAACTTCCTCGAATAAGCTGAAATATTTACCAAATGTGATTTAAATAATTTCAGTTCAATAGTAGGTCTATGACAGGCCCGGCGGAAGGCGGGTACAACGGGTGATTTTGACCCAGGCGCCAAGGTGACTAAGACGCCATATTTATGTTAAATATTTTTTTTTTTTGAGAGTATGAAAATATATAACTAGGAATATTATAGGAATAGTTATATAAAAATTTGTATACTTATTTATATAAAAATTAGTCTATGATATTTTATATAAAAACCATAATTAGTCAAAAAAAGTTATTATTTTTCTTTAATTTATTTATTGTACAATTTTAAAAATGTTTCAGCCAATTAAAAAAAATCATGTTTGAATTTTTCTGCTAACCAATCGTTGACATTGTCTAGTAAAGTTGTTTTTACTTGCGGCGCAAAAACGAACCAATTCAAAAAAAGAAAAGAATCATTGGATCGAAATTAATTTCTGAAGAAAAGCAAACATTTCTTTAAAAAATCGTTTGTGTCTTAAACAAGAAATATTATAAAAGCGTTTTAAATTAAAAAAACGTTTCTTTATAAATTAATTTAGAAATTAAAGCTTTAAAAGAAGTTTTTCTTTTTGCGTTAAATATTTTTTTCGTTCTAAAGTGTTTTAGCGCTCTTATTTGAGAGTTTCAATAATTTTTTTATTATGATATAAAGTTATCTAACTATAACTATAAAATTATATATAATATTTATTGGTTTCTTTCAAAGAGAATAATGGAGAAAAGAAATCTTTCAGGTTGGGAATTTAAATAAAAACGCCTACGAAAAGAGGAACAATTGAAATCAAATCAAACATCTTTAGAAAAACTTTTATTAAAAACTCATCATGATAAAATGGCCAAAGAAAATCCATTAATTCATAATATAGCTGATTCTGGAAACGAAAGCAAATCAACTGAATCTACTAATTCAGTTGAAACTATTCAAACAATTGAAAGATTGAATGAAACTGCGGCTACTTCAGAATACTTTGACGATATTAGCGATTGGCAGGATCCTAACAGTTCAAAGAAGGTCCTAACAGTTTCAAAGAAGGTTCTAATAACTATCCAAGAAATGTTGATAATTTGAGTTTTTCAAACCATTATTTTTACCGCGTCATGGATAATGGTGAAAAAAATCATAGGACGTGGTTAGTTTATTCACAAAAAGCAAACAAAGTTTTTTGTTTTTGTTGTAAACTTTTTTGTTTAAATCCTATTATTTTGGCTCAAAATGGTGGTAATGATTGGCGCCATATTTCACGAATCTTAAAAAGACACGAAAAAAGTCTTGATCATTTTAACTGCTACAGCAAGTGGGTGGATCTGAAAAACAGATTTCAAAAAGGCACTTTAATTGATAAAATTTTGGATAAAAACTTAATTAAAGAAGTAGAACATTGGGATAACGTAATGAGAAGATTAATTTCTCTAACTATTATGATGGCAAAGCAAAATATGCCTCTCAGAGGCTCTTGTGACAAAGTCTATCATAATAATAATGGAAACTTTTTAAAAATTTATAATTTTTGGCTGAATTTGATCCAGTTATGGAAAAATATTTGTTTAGAGCAAAAAAAAAAAAAAACAAATTATGTGCACTATTTGGCAAAAGATATTCAGAATGAACTCATTAACTTGATTGGCAAATCCATTAAATTTAAAATTTTCTCAAATGTCCAAAAGTCCGTGTATTTTTCAATTATTGTTGATTGTACACTAGATATCAGTCACCAGGAGCAAATGTCAGAGCTGGTACGATACGTTGATGTAGAGGATAAGAACGAAATTCACATTAATGAAAGTTTTATTGGTTTTCATTTAATTGAAGGTTCGACAGGACTAGATTTATCAAATAAGATTATTGACTCTCTGGTAAAAAATAATTTGTCGGTAGAAAAAATAAGAGGTCAGTGCTATGACAATGGTGCAAATATGAAAGGCGTAAGAAATGGTGTACAGGCTTTTATTCTAAAAACAAACAACCGAGCGGTTTATATTCCATGCTGCAGTCATACATTAAATCTGGCAGTTGTTGATTCTGTGAGATGTTCACCTAAAATTGTCATGTTTTTCAATATAATTGATAAAGTTTACAATTTTTTTTCTGCTTTAACAAAAAGATGGTTAATTTTGCAATCAAAGTGTCCATCTTTAACAGTTAAACCGTTAAGTGATACAAGATGGGAAAACCACACCAATGCTGTAAAAACACTTCGATTTGAAATGCCAAAAATTTATGAAGCACTGCAAGATGCGGCTAAGACCGCTAATGAAACAATTGCAAAAATCACAGCAGAGTCTATTGCTTTAAAAATAACAAGCTTCGATTTTTTGTGTTCGATCGTAATTTGGCATAAAGTTTTATTCGAAATTAATATGACTAGCAAACAACTTCAAGCAGCTTCAACGAATATTTCAGAGGCTTTAAAAGCAATGGAAAGAACGATTAATTTTTTTAAGGAAAATTACAAACAGGAAAAATTTGACTCGGTTGTGTGTATTGCTTCTTTTTTAAAGGTGAAAGAAAGTTTTGCATCAGAATCTGCTTCAAGAGTAAGAAAGAGAAAGAGATTCTTTGATGAACTTGAACAAAACTTTGAAAAACAGTTATGTCCAAAAGAAAAGTATAAACAAGATGTTTTTAATAAAATATTTGAATGTGCTAATATTGCAATAGAAGAGAGATTTAATAATTTTAATGCTGGCATTGCACCTTTTAGTTTTTTATTTGATATTAAAAAGCTCTCAACAGTAAAGGAAGATGATTTAAAATCTCATTGCATCGCGTTGGAAAAAAAATGAAATTCGAAAAAAAGATATTTCTGGAGAGGAACTAAGTTTTGAATTAATGTCTCTTTCTTCTCATTTTACTGAAAATTTGGATCCTGAAAATGCTATAAAATATTTGAACGCAAATGGTTTGAATGAAATCTATGCAAATGTATTTATTGCATTGAGAATTCTTCTTACATTACCAATAACAGTAGCTAGCGCCGAGAGATCTTTTTCGAAAATAAAAATTATCAAAAAATATTTAAGATCGACAATAGGCCAGGATAAGTTGAACAACCTTGCAATGATTTCCATTGAAAATAAAATTGCCGCTGATTTAAATATTGAAGATATCCGGTTGAAATTTTTGGAAAAGAAAGCTCGAAAAGTAATATTTTCGAAATAAATTATTTTATCAAAAGAGTATTAAATTAAGTCAAAAGTATAAACTTTGATTTATAAAGGCGCCATAATACTTTTTTCACCTACCTTCGGAATGTCTAGCGCCGGGCCTGGTCTATGTACTCCTTAAAATTCTCAATAAGATTGAAATTTGGGCTCTGTAAAGGCTATTTAAGAATTTTTTGTGATAAAGATCCCAGTGGGGACGGGACATAGAAAAGATATCTTTTAAACAACTTTTGAACGTGTTTTGAATGCTGTGGGTGTCTTTTTAATGTTAAAAAGACTTCTTTTTTAGGTCCTGTGCCTTTTTTAGGTCTAATGCTTCGGATGATTAACTTGTAATAAGATCGATTTACGAGTTCTTTTATACTTTGAATATGGGAGCATTACATTCATTATGATGTTTAAATAAATTCTCTGATCCACACTACCTTTTATGCAATGAATGGGACCATGAAAATGATGCATACTTAAATTAAGTTCAATAGCAGTTTTAAGAGGATTATTATTGAAAAAAACCTACTAACAATTTATCAGCCTTTTCAGTTGCAACTTTAGGTCTTTTAAAGCAAGGCTTGCTTTCAATAGTTTTGTTTTGATAAAATCTTTTCATTATGAACGTTACTCAAGGTTTAAAAACATCATAAAGTTCAGAAAAATTTAGTGAGTCGTTTTTTTCCCTCAGCTTTTAAATTATTTTTATATGAAACTTTTTAAGATTTTCTCATACTTTTAAAATACTAAGTAACTGAAGTATACTTTTTTGCAAGTATTTTAGAAATCAGTTTCTACTTTCACTTTTTTGCAAGTATTTTAGGAATTAGTTTCAATACTTCACTGATTTTGAGTTTCCTCAAATGATTAAATTTTGCAAATATTTTGGCCTTTAAAATTACTTTTATTTACAAAAACTTGATTTAATTATAGGAGATGATACTGTCTCTAAACTTTTGCACGAAAGCCTTTGGGATCGTTCATAAATTACGTAACGCTAAATTTCACTTATAAACAAAGCAAAAAAGGCCGAAAGTTTTCGCTTGCAGAGCCTTAAGTTAAATAAAAAATTAAAATAGCTCATTAAGATTAATGAAAATTGCCGCTTGTTATCTCTTACTTCTATTTTTTAAATTTAGCGTTTCGTAATTTATGGACGATTCCTTTTCAAAAAAGCAAATAAATTTTAAATAACCGTTAACTTTTACCAGTTTTGTGGTTGAACTGAAATAATATAAAGCACATTTGGTAAAAATTTTAGATTATTTGAAATTTTTTTTTAAAAACATTATACTTTAAAAACCGAAAAAAAAGTTAGCGCTTCTAAACTTTTGCACGCTATATTTGTTATCATTAGCACAAAGTAATTACGGAGCGCAGTCTCAATATTAGTGAACTCATCCTGCAAACCTTTCACAAACTCTTTAAATTTCCCTGACTCATTACCAAAGAAGGATGAATCTTAGACTTGACACTCCAAGAACCGAGTTTCACCTACTTAGAGAAGAAGAAGAGATGTAATATGATCACGTGTAAACATTCTTTGGTTGCGAGTAGACGTTTAGTGATCAATTACTAGAATAAAGTTCTCAACAAAAATTTTAAGAAGATTGTATTTGAGTGGAATTTGTATGTACACAGCAGGCCCGTAGCAACCGGGGGGCAGCTTAAGCATTCTCCCCCCTCCCCCAATAATTTTTCAAATAAGTAATTTTGAAGAAATTGACTGAAAAATGATTAAAAAAAAAGGTTCTTAAAACTATTTCGGGATAGTACTGCCTCCTCAATATAAATTTTGTCACATTTTTTTTATTTATTGTTGTAACGTTTTTAAAGCAAAGTACAATAATAAAGCAATTGTATTATAACAATAACTCGCTTTATAAAAAAGATCGCCAAGATGAACGTTGAGGTGACTGTATAGCTGCCTACATTACTGACTTATTTAATTCTCATGAAGTTATTAGTTCTATAAAATTTTTCTTGAGCAAGTTTGGGTATCTGTAAAAGTTAATATTAAACGTATACTTATCTACATATCTTATCTTACCACTATAAACCCAATCTTGCTAATTTAATAAAATATATCGCTGAATACTTTAAATTTTCTCATAGCTTATTGTCAAAACTTTTAACCTCCCGAATGTCAGGTGGTCTAATGGTGGTATGAAATCTTTCAGTCCGAACGATTCTGCAGAATTTCTAAATTATTTACTGAAACAGCCTCTTTACACAACATATCACACTTTCGACTTCCAGACATCCTTTGCTCAAATTATATGCTATATAAATCAATTGCTCAAATTATATGCTGGTATTTTTATTTATCTACAGCATTAATTCTTTTTTAAACTTGTTTCCTAATTTTATATTAGGTAGAAACACTAAAGGTTGCTTTGGTATCACTTGAAGAATCTTAGTGTAAGAACCATTTCCCGAAAATAAATCTTAATTGTTTAGTTACAAGCAAGGTCATTTTAACTCAATATCAAACTTTATTACATCAATCAACTGGGGTATTTTATTTTTACATAAAACCGCGGACCAAATGTTCAATTTAATAATTTCTAACAATCGCACTGTTTTACGAATATTTTATCCCCAAGGAAATAAAATAAAGTAAAAGTATGAATCCTTGAGTTACTTCACATACTAAAAACCTATTTTGAGCAAAAAAATCCGCTTGGTATACTAAATGTTTAACTAAATGGAAGAACAATAAACTTAAAATAAATTGCAATCTTCTTAATTGTTCCGTAAAAACTGAAATATTCAAAGCAAAAAAAATGCATGAAAAAGAAATAATATTAAAATCCCGAAACAACCTAAAACTCGTCCACAAATATTTTAATAAATAACTAAAAATTAAAGATAGAGTTTGTTCTCTCAAAGATAATTTAGAGAAAATTACTGAAGCTCTTCCTAATATAGTTGATCTTCTGAAATCTCAATTCAAACTTATGTTTACACTTGAAATCTCTGAATATTTTCCATCGTTTAATAAATGTGGTATTAAACCTAAAGGTGGTATTAAACTTATTAAAATAATGATAACTTGGGTTTTTCTATTTTAGACGTTATTAAAAAACTTACCAATCTAAAACCCTTTAAAATTTTATTTCCATTTACAAAAATTATTCATAAATCCTTTAATTCTGGAATACTAACCAATCTCTGGAAATTAGCGAGTTTTAGTGTGGTCTATAAAAAATCTTTAAGCACTATAGCAATAATAACATGCTCTCTGCAAATCAATATGGCTTTTTCACCATAAATTATGTGTGGCTAACCTCATAGAGACTTTTTATATCATTTTCGACTTCTATAGCATTTCACCACGGTGAAAAATTAAACGCTTTGACGAAATTGATATAGATTACATTCATAAACTACAGTTTATTAATATAATCTATATCAATTTTGTCAAAGCGCTTGATTCTCTAGCTCACATCAGACATATGTTAAAAATAAAACGATAATTTAAAGATAATTTTTATTTACTCGACTAGATCATTTATTTGATAGTCACACATTGTAAGGACACATCATAAGAGCAGAGTTAATAGAGACAAGTTAAGTTTCCATCGTACCGAGGAACTACTCATTCTCTGAGTAGGTAAAGCCGGGATTTGAACCTGCAATTTTGTTGCTGCAGCAAATGATAATTCTAAACAGCACTCAGCGCTCTAACTAACTGAGCAATCCCGACGCAAAATGTTTTGGAATAAACGGCAAGCTAAAAAAGGTAATAATAATAAATCAATCAGTAAAAAGCTATACTAAAGGGCGTAATTTCGGAGTCATTTTTTCATCTAAAGCCAAATAGTTTTAGAGACTCAAATAGCTGTCTCTAAGTCTTTAAAAATTCTTGGTATGCAAAAAAGCATTCATCTTCGTTGATGAAAATATGGCTCTTAAGTTATAGAAAGAGTTAATAAGACCACACCACAAATATTCAGTGTCTATTTGGGCTTCTTATTTAAAAACTGATAAAACCTTGGTTGAATCTGTTCAACGCAAAGCAACAAAATAGGCTTCCAGCTTGAGATATCTTTAATACTGCAAAAAACTAAGAATATTAAATCTACAATCATTGACTAAGTTCTTGGGTTGAGCATCAATAAGGTTAGAATTAGGATAAATTTTCCGCACTTTATTCCCACATTTTTTACCTTAAAAACATTCAGTAGATTTTCTACTTACTAGACTTCATAGTGTAACACTCTGGTTTTTATTTCATAATTTTTGACAAGGAAGGGAATGGGAGGAGGGGGTAGCAGAAAAGTAATTTAGGAGCTTGGATTAAAATTTTGCGGAGAAGGGGGTAGAGGCATTTTTTGTTGCTACCCTACCACACCGTAGCTAAAATAATTTATTTGGAAAAAATATCCAACAGAAACGATTTGCATTTTTAAAACCACGATAGCTATATACGATACCTAAATTTTGAAAATATTCTGTCAACGTCTTTCAAAAAAAAAGAGGGTTAAACGAGCAGGTCATAAATTTTTGGTATTCAAAATAGTTTGAAACTGACTCTTATTAAGGGGGTTGTCAACTTTACAAGGTCATAACTTTTGAACATCAAAATAGTTTTTTACTAAATGAGAATTTTACAGATGAATTTTAGTCGAGTTAAAAATTGTTTTTTTTAAAGTGCTAATATTAACCCCTTCTCAAACAAATACTTGGACCTTATGGCCCTAATTTTATGGCAAATTTTAAACAATATGTTAATTACGGTGAAAAAACTTTTACATTACAGGTTAAATGTATAAATAACATTCCTCTATTGTGTATACTTCCTTGTGATATAACACAAAAAAGTTTATCAACAGATATTATGAACTTTTTTTATCTGCTGCAGAAGTTAATAAAATTTTAAAAATTGATTAGTATTGCTCATATCGTTTTAAAATGCCAAACATTAAAAAGCTCTCATAAAAAGCCTTCTGCCTAATATGTTTTTCAAAAGGATCAGGAATGACAGATGTTAAAGAACGAAGTATGACATTGAACAGAATACATATATTCTTTTTAAAATCATTTGATTTAAGCAATTAAAACTTTTCTTATGGCATTTATGCTAAATGTAGAATAGCATTAGAAAGAATTGAAAAAGGAGATAAAAACATTATTCTGAGTAAACCCTGTGAGTTCTTAAAAATCAAGTAAATATACTTACAAGAAACCAATCATTCTGTGTTTGAAAACATTTGTGAAATTGTTCGAAATACAATTACTCCAGGATCAACATCTCAAAATAGAGGGAAAAAAAAGTTGGGAAGAATAAAGACATTATCAGCTGGAAAAGTAAAAATTTGTAAAAATTGCAGGTTTGTTATTGGAAGAGGATTACCCACCCTTGCACTCTCACAACGAAAAGAAAAAATTTAGCAGAAGAACTTGTCAAAGGTAGGGCGAACCTTTTATTTTTGATTTAATATATCAAACTTGAAATTAGGAAATTTATAATAAATGTTTGAAATATAAAAATTAAAAACATGGGTATAAATTTCTTTTGATATTAAGATAGACGAGGTTCCAAACTTCAATGCTCAAAAGTATTAAAAAGAAAAGTTGTAGTCAAAAGTAAAGCAATTGCTGTTGAACAATCAAAAGCCTCTTCAAAAGCGCTTTTTCCTGTTGAAAAAAATCCCAATTTCGGAAATAAACAAATTTAAAAACACTTGTGGACTTAGTAATACACAGTGAGGCAAAGTTCTTAGCATATTTAGAAGCTGGAATGGAAGAAACTTATTTAGAAACAATGTAAGAAAAAAATTAAGTGAAGAAGATATGAAATTGGCCAGTATATTTTTTGAAATTGAAAGTGCAGCACCAACACATCCTTGCCCTTGGTGTAATATTAGCAAAGAAAAAATGCAAAATTTTGAAAATCATGGTGAGCTCAGAACTTTAGGAAGTAACCGTTCATTAGCTTATGCTTACAGAGCCGCCTATAAAAAAAGATTCAAGATTTGACCTGCATTTTATATTAATTACATTAACTTTCCACTAGTTGATCTGTCTGATGTCGTAAAAGTTATTGAAATCCTTGCTCCAAAGGAATTTCATTTACTTTGTGGAAATACAAACAAAATTTGAAAAAATTATGAAAAATATTTGCATGAAGAGATGCCACTTTATTGGCAAACCAGTAGGACCAAATTTTAGGATTTCAATCGCCTAAGCTGTATGGTGGTCAATATAAAAGTGGAGAATATTTGAAACTGCTAAAAAATATTCTTGTGTTAGAATAAAACCTTTTAAAAGATGAACATATCATTTCTATAGTTAATTCCTTTAAATGTTTAAATTCTGTCTTTGTTGTTATTATTGTCTTGGTTCTAGTTTGTTACCTGAATATGAGTCAACCATTAACAAGTACGAAGATGTTAAACTTGGTCAACGAGTGTCATCGAAAAGGTATGCTCTTATCAAGCATACATGTGAATATCTTTCACTAATGTTAAATTCCGATCCAAATAAAGAGTTTTTGGTCTAAACAGGCCTCTGAATCTGTTCATTATGATTTTTTAAAGTTTTTGGAGAGTAAATACAAAGTTTCTAGTTGCTTTAAAGACTATTCACAAAGCGGCTTTTAACAAAAATACCTTTAAAGCGGCTTAAGTGTGTCTTAAGCCTTCTTAAAGCCACTGTTACGATAAGAATTTTTTTATAGATGAATTAATTTTTCCCATGAATTTTGATCTATTGTAAGATACTGCAAAATAAAAAAGTTTTTTTCTTATTTTCACATTTGAGACAGTGGGTCCTAATTTTTTAAGTGTAAATTGTTCCCAGGCTCCTCCCACTGCTATTTTTTGTAAAACATTTTTATTTGATACCAGTATCAACATTACAAAGTTTAAAGTTTGCACCATTTCTGGAAGTTACCTATCTTGAACACCGAAAATCCATGACCTATCCGTTTAACTCCCTTTTTTTGAAAGTCATCGACAGAATATTTTTAAAATTTAATTTTTAAAAAGAAATAATAGTTGTTCTAAGTATTGTGGTTTCAAAAATGCATTTTCAAATAAATTATTTCCGCTATGGTATGCTATTGGAGTCAATACAATTTTTTTTTATATCATCCGAGTATCGATGACTTTTAGGTTTAATATTTTGATTATTGAATTGATTTTTATTAATAGATTAAATGATAAACCTTTTCTTAAAAAATTTTCAAAAAGATTTATTTTGGGTTGATTTATTATATTTATTATTTACATTTATATAGATTTATTTAGGGTTGGGAATACCGGGATCCCGGTATTTGGAACAATTTATAGTTCCCGAAATACCGGTATTAAAAAAGTCGAACACTGTTATTTCGGTATTCGAAATAATTTCATTATTCGAAATAATTTCACCATTCGAAATAATTTCGTTGTTCATAATTATTTCACCATTT